TGAACCAAAATGCTTTGAAATTACAGTAGTGTTCCATTCTTAGCTGGAAAATATATTCCTTAGTAGGCTTAGATGCATCCAGGTAATATGGAAATGGTCCACAAGACTTATACTATTGCTTGCCAGATAGTCCTCACAGCTGTTGATTCTTATCTACACACACCCTTGTTCAGGAAGGAGAACCACGGAGGGCTAGTGGGGAGCTCATCCAGGTGTACCAGCATTCCAGATTTTCTCAAAGAACTCTCAGTAAAAAGCTCAGAAGATAATGAGCAGATCAAGAGGAAAGCTAAGTAGAGTTCACTCATCACTAATCTAAACGTACTGGAGCTGTTTAAATCACACCAGGGAATAAAACGAATGCTCCAAGGATACTGTTTAATATATATTGATAAAAAGGAAATATTATTTTCCCTTCAGTGAGTTTGAGATAACCTTCAGCTGTGGGTGATTACTTTTTTGGTGGCCACCTTTCCTAATGTACCTCTATGGTACCAACATGATTTATCAGGCACAGTAAATCACATGGACTGACTTTTCTTCTTTCATGCTTCTGTGAGCACTAAAATTATTACTAGTGTTTCTCCATTTAAGTTAGCATATTACAGGAGCATATCAGTTAAAACTGTGGTGTAAAGAGTTCTCGCTACCCCTGTTCTCTTCACACTCCAGCAGCTGTCACAATTGCATTCAAGGCCAGGGTGCATATGGTTGAGGTGCTAGCTGCAATTACTGAGAAGTAAACTGAAAATCATGTTAAGAATATCCTTTTTGCAGGACTGTAGATATCAGCTGTGCATTCTCAGGTGTCTGTGGAAATGTATATATGAGAATGCATCTTGTATGTTATGAGTATAGAAGCAACTATATATTTCTATAACATATATGTGTGCGTTCTCAAATATACAAACAAGATGCACAACATCCTAAAATAACAGAAATTTGAAGTAATGTTAAGCTCTGGAAAACTCTTTAAGTTAAGGCATTGAAAGTACATGTATAATGCCATTTCTTACAGTAGAATTTAAAGTGTAGTACTATAGTTGTGTGTGTTGCAAACGCACACACACACATTGAATTCCACACAATAGAATTGTGGTCTCCGAATCGTTTTTTTCATGACTGTAGGTTCGTGCTTTGCAAAAAGAAATGGATGCAAATTTCAGAAGCTGGCTTTGCGGTTTGCCCACCACACATCACGGTACAAGATCTTTTTGATTGATTGATTGATTGATTGATTGATGTTGTTGTTGAAAATTGTCTTGTGCAAGCACATTTTAAGCATGCATCCCATTTTTTAAAGAACTTATTCCTTTTCTGGTTGCCAGTGATAACTATCCAGTGCTACCCCCATTTATTGTGAAAAGGGACACATAAGCTAAATTTATATGCTATGCAGTGCATGTTGCTTTAATGGTGTGTGTGTGTGTGTGTGTGTGTGTGTGTGTGTTGCAGACCTTGGACTTCCTATGGTGTGGCTTTTTGTTATAATCAGATCCGCAGGCATTTCCACTTCTAAAGGTACATATTAAAGTATTCACAGTGACCCTTTCAAAATCACTTCCATTCACTGATCAACAAGTTGAACGATAATTTGCTATATATAAAACGCACAAAATGTTATTTTAAAAAATCTACATTGAAGTCATGCCAATTTCACTGCATCAATTTTGCCTGAGCAAAATGGAACCTGAGTTCCATTCAACGGCCGCATATGTTTCTTTAACATAGCTAATGAAGATGAGTCTTCAAAGTCTCTGTCATCCATGATCTTCTGCTATGAAATATGAAGTCCATTGTGTTCTAAATATGAGTGGACTGTGAATATGTGATCATTGTTCTGTTTTTCTTCTCCTTTTTCTAAATATTCTTTATGTTTTACTGTTGACAACTCAAGTAACGTAGGTTCTCTGGATTTTAGAAATGCTGGTCTGACTGGAGCAAACATCAGAAACACTCATTTGTTGGTGGTCAGTTCTGTCGGATAGTGCTGCTGGTGCTGTCGTGTAGAAATATGAATATATGAGTTCACATAAATGTTGGGACATTGTGCTCTTTGGATCATGGTCATATGCTGCAGTTGTCAGGATTCATCTATGTAACTTGGTTGTACAAAAATGTTTTTTCTTCCTCAGACTGTAGGGTTTATAGCTTACGGCCTCAACCAGGAGAGCATTCCACAGGTGTTGTGGGGTGGGGGGTAGGGCTATAACTGAAAATATCCTATCCAGTGTTGCCACCCTCCGAACCTCTCCTAGCTTTGTAAGGTTGCATAGGTTAAAAGCAGAAATTGCAACTAGAAATGTATAGGCAGCGAGTGCCATTGTGCTAATACTGGTAAGAAAAAGTAAAAACACAAATAAACATATAACAAAATATTCAGCTCTGATAGCTCCCAGGTAATCATTGGCATGATTGCAACCTTTTTAGTCTTGAACTTTGCAAACTATGTCTTTTAAAGTTATTTTACTCCTGTTTATTCCAACCGTTTCTTAAATAAGGGCATGCCATAAAACCGCTTGTAAAAGTTAAATGACTTCATTATTGCTGTACTTATTAAAGAAATTAAAATCTGTTATTTACTGTTTAATATCCAGATACTTTGGCATAATGCTCTGTTTAACCTTGACTTTTGCCTCATGAATTATGTACAAGAGTCAGTTTAATGTTGACATTATTTGGAGCTTGCGAAAAACCTATAAATAGCATTTTAAGGTTACTTTCAACAAGTTGACATCTGAACACCGTAATTAACAAACTGAGTTCAGTCATTTCCTTAATAGGTTCTATGTTTTGCTTTCTGGCATAGGAATCAGGGCTTGCTCTTTCCACTTCATAAAGGCAGGCAGGTTAGATTTCATGCAAAGTTTTTGTAATTTCATTTGTGTTTGAGGACAAAAGTAGAAATACTGAAAAGCATTTAAAGTCACATAATTCCAAATATATTGAAGCCAAGAGTATACGTACGCTATGGGAAGGATTTATAGACATCCATATTTGATTGGGGTACACCTGGCAGGCCACACCTAGATTTTGAAACTGTGCATGGTTCATGCTGCTACCACCAAATAGGTCCATTCGGTGCTATTTTTTCTAGAAAAAGAGGTTCTGGAACTCACAATGAACGCCTCCTATGCTCTCTTATAATGGCAATGGTGCCCACCTGAGACATGCCGGAACTGTGTTCTGTCGAGTTCTGGCTGGGGAAAAAAGCCCTGGTTCCATTATATGGTTTGTGTGTTTTGAAAGAATGCATGAAATGTTCACATCAAGAGTTGCATTCTGATCTGCAAACAAGTTTGGGTTGGTCTGTTTCTCAAGGTGTGGACCAAATGAATTCCTCCTCCATCTCTACTGCCAAATGAGTTTCACTGGGGTAGAAAAGTATTGGAGAAATTAAATCTCTTTACAATAGTTTTTTCCCCTCTCATCAAAAGTAAACTTTTAATTTGTTTTTCACTAGGGATTGCTTGTACGGGATGCACCTCTGAAGGATATGAAAGTTTTTAATGATCGGCGATTCGTAGCTTCGTTCAGTGTGGTAAATGCTACCAAACGAGATGCAGGCAATTACCGCTGCATGATTCGCACAGAAGGAGGAGTTGGAGTATCAAATTATGCAGAACTGATCGTTAAAGGTATTTCAGAATGGATGCGTGCATGAGAAGAGTACTATCTTAGGTTATAACAGAGCTCCTGTAAATAACATCTACTGCTCCTATAATAATGAAGACGTGTTGTCAGTGTCACATTCTTCTTTTAAATGGAGGCTAGAGAAACTCAGATATATCCCCTTACACAGTCCTTCCTAGGACAATCTCCAGAGTCTGTTGATCATTTTATTGGAAGGCTCTAATTTTTTAAATTACTAAGCAAGTTGCAAAATGTCTAAACATTTCAACTTCCCTTAGACACTTTATGATTGCCTTTTCTTTTTAACCTCCTCTTTTAACAATCTTATGTATTTTACATTTTGCAACTTTTTATTTGTGGCCAATGGACCATAAAATTATATTCAACTAACAATGATTTTGTTCCTTAATCTCAACAAGAAGCGAGCCCCTCTGTTCCACTAAAAACACAGAACAAGTCTCACATATTATATTAATCATTATATGCATTATTATATACATAATACTGTATGCCTATTAGATGCATATATAGTCTAGGTTTCCTAAAGTGAGCAGTACATAAACAAATACTTATAACTGTGCACATGACTGTATAAAATATACTTGATATACTTACAAAGTTATGCTGCAAAATAAAGTCTGACCTTTCTTTTTTACACATATTGGAGGGGGTATATAGTTAGTATAATTCAGCACATAATTTGGCTTTTTTAAAAAAAAATAAGATACAAGCAGAAAGGGAATAGTGCTATGCAAAAAGTTCTTCAATGAACATTTCTGGCACATTTGTAGGGGCGGCGGGGGGGGGGGACAGGAAGGGGGGAAAGGTGGTATGGAGAAAGTTGTGATGCCTTTTGTGACAATTTTATGGATGGTACATCTACACAACTATTTTTTGTTGTTCTGATGCACGATACCAGTCAGAAGTTTCTCTTTCTTAAATCCCCACCTCAACTTTTCTTTTTATTTAAAGGAGGCAGTCCTTGAGCCTTCAGCCTGGAAAGTAATTGGCAGCCAGTGTAGTCAGACCAAGATTGGTTCAATATTCTCAAACCTTCTTGCTCCAGTGAGCAACCTGTCCACTGAATTCTGCACCAGCTGAGGTTTCCGAACTATCTTCAGAGACAGCCCCATGTATAATGTGTTACATTATTCTAACCAGATTACCAGAGCATAGACAACAGAAGTTAGGCTATCCCTGTCCAGATAGGGGCACAGCTGGGTCTCAAGCAAAAACTGATGGAAAGCACTCCATGCCACTCAGGCCACCTGAACAAAGGTGCATATCCACTCCTTCAGACGCAGCATAACCTCAAGCGCAAGCAACTTCCCATCCTTCCAGTCTGGGGAACCACTCACTAACAGTACCTGAGTCTTATCTGGATTCAGCTTCAGTTTATTTCCTCTCATTGAGTCCATTGCCTTCCTTCTTCCTTGCATAGTTCTCCTGCCACTTTCCCATGGTGGTAATAGTCTTCTGTCCAGTACCATCCCATCCCATAGTGCATCTGAGACATTTAGGACTGATGCCTTGTCCCATTAAGAAATTATTCAGCCTGCCCCTCAAGTGTGCAGAAAGTTCTGAAATGGGGCTGTGAAGGTGATCATCCCTAAAATAAACAAACAATGGAAAGGTTACTCTGCTGATATGAATTCAATTTTCTATATGTTCTTTGGTAGTGAATCTCACTCCCAGTGATTTTCTTGTGAAAATGACTAAAACTTGGATTTTATATATAGTGGAACCCGGTTTTCGAGTGTCTCAGAAACAGAATGATTCAGAACCTGAACGCCGAAAACCCGGAAGTGAATGCTTCCGTTTTAGAACGCACTTTGGAAGCTGAACAGCTTCTGAGGCGCACTTCTCCATTTTCTCAATGGAATTTCCCAGCTGCTCATTGCGCCTTGGTTGTCAAACATTTCTGGAGTCGAACAGTCTTCCGGAATAGATTACATTCAACAACTGAGGTGCAACTGTATTGCTAAAATGGAAGTTTTTTGATTAAAATTCTTAAGAACATCTCATTCAGAAGCAGACAGTACACAGGGGTGGGGGCAATAATGAGGGGGGAAAGGAAGTGATCTACAGGCATGATGAAAAATGAGGACAAATAAAGAGTCCTCAGATTCAGCTTTCTTAAAAACTTGTATCAATATACTACCATTGACCTTGAACCGTCCATGTGTGAATTTATTTATCATATCCTTATAATATTTGGTCTTATCCACCTCTCAGCACATTTACACTGTGTACAGTGAATAATTGCTTACCCTTAGGGTGTAATCCCATTAGCTACTTGTAGTGTGATGAAGTAATTATGGTAATTCCTTTTGCTTGTGCCGTAGCTTTTATGAGACCTTATGCGGGCCATTCCTTGTGACCTAAAAAGCCCATTTTAAACAGTGTACTGACCTTGGAACAGATTATATTTAAATAACAACATTATGATATACTTAAGCTCATTTGCATTGTTACTGATAGGCAATTACACATTCCTTTTTTTAAAGTGTGTTTTACAGAAAATTGCATTCCACCTTCCAATAACATATGTGTTTTAAATATATATTTATCAGGGAGTTAAAAGTACGTGCACATTTGCAGCTTTCTTTTTTTAGGCTTGATATAATGGCTTAGTGCTTATTTTGAAACATTGTTTCATGTATTTTGAACTTCTTCACATATTTTGGATATCTTCAGATAACAAAATTTTTCCTACATGGAATTACTGCATAATCAAAATTATGTACACTGTGGGCCTTTTGAAATACGGTTTTATGTTATGTGCAACAGCCAGCACGAGCCTTGGTCTCATATGCTCCAACTCCCTTTTCTTGCATGGCTGCGACATGCTTTCCTCTGCCTGAACTCCAGGGAAACTCAGGTTTGTTTTAAATTACTATTTATTGAAATAAGACAATATCAAATAGTGGTTTATGATCCTGGCTTGTTCTCAAACCATTTAAACTTTAAGCTAACCAGAGTCCCTGGACCTTGGGTGTAATGGGAAGCTCTGGTTAGTTTAAAACCAGAAGCACTCACTAATTTTCTATCTGTAGCTTCACTGGGGAGGCACGGAAATGGGGAACATATGGAAATTCTTTCATTTATCAAAGAAAATCTCCATTCTCAAAACCTACGCATGACAATAGATCTCCAGGAAGGAAAATATCAGCTGAGAGGTTCAGACCCTCATCAAATCCAAGAAAGTGGATCTCATGTTTATGGCACAGGTACTAGATCTGTGAATCTCAGTGGCACATATAACTGTGAGCAAAGCACCACACCTATCCTCTCCAACGCTCTACTACCCCTCCAGAAAGACATCACATCAAGCAGACAACTGCACGTTAAAGTCCCCCACCACTTTTACTGAGCCTTGAGATGGTGGACAGTGTGATCCAGCCTACATAGGGGCTCTCCTTTTCATGTTCCGTCGACAACAACGATCACCCTGGATGCCAGTCTCACGGGGTGAGAAGTTCACTGCAGAGATCTAAGCATCCAAGGCCTATGGTCTCCAACAGAAGCATCAGTGAGCATCAGTTGGTTAGAGCTTCAAGCAGCTTGCTTAGCCGTATAACACTTTGCTCCTCGTCTCCAACTCATCAGTGTCCTAATACGTACATATTCCACCACAGTGAAATCTCCACCTGATCTTTGGAGTTTTGTGCAGTAGTAAGTATCTCTTCTCCTCAGCTGAGCATAATAAAACTTCTAGTCACTTATTGCTGAGCTCATCTCCAGTCTCCTGAACACACAAGCAGACAGGCTGAGGCACAGGGAAAGCTACCAAGAAGAATGGCAACTGCATCCTGCAGTTTTCCAACAGCTCCTGTCAAAGTTCAGATCCTATGGTTCTTTACCAGATTCCAGTCAGCATCAGTGGAGACCTTATATGTTCTCCCCTTGTTCTCCCCTGGCCACCAGATTTTCTCTACACCCTCCCTTCACTTTCTATCATTCCAATGGTGGTCCTCCAGAAGATCAGGGAAGAGAAAGTGACAGTCCTTATCACACCATTCTGGCCTTGCAGCCCTTGGTTCCTTCAAATAAGCCACCTGGCACTTACCTCCCAACCACTTTTGACATGATTGCTTAAAGGGCTAACTTTAACATGCTCCTCGACCAGCCACAGATTCCCATCCTGAGACCTCCACAGAAGCCTCCCTTTGAACCGCTGAAAGAGATCTTTCTCAAACTACTGTCCTTCAAAGTTACCGTTTAGTGGCCATCATTTCATCTTGCATAATTTTGGAACTCAGCACTCTGTCCACAGCCAAGCACCTCTACCTCTGCACCTTTCACAAAGATAGGCTGTCTTCTGTACTGACCTAGCCTTCCTGCTTCCTAAAGTTACTTCTAGCTTCTATTTGGAGCAAGAACTTGTTCTTCCCTCCTTTTTTCCAAATTCAGTGCACCCACGAAAAAAGGTTTGGCATTCCCTGCATGTATTCAGAGCCCTAAAAGTCTGCATTGCTCAAACCAAAGAGCTCAGAAGAACAGAATCCTTCTTTGTGTCCTTCCACCCCTTTTTCTTGGGGAAGAAGGTAACTTCTGCCATCTTAGCCAGTTGGATAAAAGCTTGCATTGCTCTTTTCCTATGAAACTCAAAGGCTCCCTGTGCTTTCTCACATCACTGCTCACATCACTCATTCTGCAGCCCCCTCTGCCGCATTCTCCACTTATGCTCCCCTACTAGAAAAATGAAGGGTGGCCACCACTATCACATAGATGCCTTCGCTTCAGTGGAACCCACCTTTGATCGGAGGCTCCTACAAAGGTCCTCTTTCCATAACACTGCAGCATCTCTGCCGCCCAAGATTGGGATAGCTCTGGTATGTCCTAATCTGCTGACCTTTCATTGCAGGAATGGGGAAAAGTACAACGGTACCTATCTGTATCGTAGTTTTCCATTCCTGTAACTCCTGCTCTTTCTCAAGCTTAGGGAATTCGCAAATTGAATCCTGGGACCCCTTTGTCCCAAAACATTGTTGCCTGCCTTCAACCTGTGTGTAGAGCCAAGAGCCAATCTGCTGACCTTTCATTGGGAATGGAAAACTACAATTCGGGTAGTTTCTTAAAACAATTTGTGCTTCTTAAAAACAACAACACACACTTAAAAAAAAACAACTGATTTTTTCTCAGGTTACATAAAATAAATCAGATATTGCAAATAAGATAAACTAAAAAGAGCTGAACAGAAAGGTATTTGGGAATGTAAATTAGTATTTTATGTGCACACCCATCTTTTAACGAACTTTTCTAATAGTGGTCAGCTGCAGCATAGATTAGATTTAGAAGAACAGAATGAGCCTGTCTGAGAAGATATCAGATTATTACAGAGTTCAAAGTACTTACTGAGTTCATACAAGGTAAACCTAGGTGTCAGACTGGCTAGGAGGAGTTTTGTTAGGTTTTAAAGACAGGGCACGGAAGGGCAGCCATCTGTGCTGTCCATAGCTTATATTTTTTCAGGTTGTCAAATGGAAGGTTTAGCACCTTGAATAGCACTGAATGTGCCAAGGGCCAGTGTAACGGCAGTTGGTCTTAAATGTGAGGGCAAAATCATTTGGAAAACTGTGGCAAGATTTAAGAAAATATACTGCAGACAATATCAATGTCTCACATCGAATATAACTGATCTGTAGAAAGGTCTTTATGATCTGAAAATAGAGATAGTGTATGTACTTTCGTAACCAAATAAAATCTTTAATAAAAACATTCTTTTAAACACACACACACAAAGTATCATTGCAGTATAAACCGTTTTGAAGTTGAATGCTTAAAACTGTAGTCTTTGTATTGTCTTTGTCCGTTTTAGTGACTGTGTTTATGCGTACAAAGCTTCAAGCATGCACATTTCTTGATTTACAGTTTTCTGCGGTTCAACAAACAATTTATTGTGAGTGGAAGACTATGGCATATCCTCTCTCATAATAACAGGCACATAAAATGATAGACTTCTTAGCCATAATTGTTATAATGTGGAATGGAGAAGAAATGCATTTTTGGATGGGAAATGAACTTGTGCGTTCTGACCCAACTCTTGGATTTCTGCACATTTACTGTTCATCAGTGCCGTTGTCTGTGTGTTTAGACAGCTTTTCTCTGGAAGTGTAGGCTGGGTGGGGAGCTAACTATTACCCTTCCACTCTTGTCTCTCTCCCGACCTGCCAGCAATTCTTTATAGACCTTTTGAATTGTACAAATCTATTTGTTGCTTTTATTATGGTCACAACACTTTCATCCGTGGCAGTTGCTGATATCTTGACTTTCTTCAAAATACACAATGAGGATAAACTATTATGCATTCTCTTTTCAGTAGTTTTGGGCACCTCAAAAGCTGCATTGGCATACAGATGTGTTTCAGTGAGCATGTTCTAAACACTTGTTATGTCTGACTTCCCATAGTCCTTGATGAAAATGTTCCCTGTGTACTAATGAGGAATATGCCTGCCTTTAAAAAATCATTACAAAGCAACCTTTGTAAATTCAAAACATCAGTGGATGACAGGGATTCTAGGAAAAAGGTGGGGGGAAGCAGACTACTTAAGACTTTAATCTAACTGGTGGCTGGGCCCAGTCTCTGTTCCCGTTCTTATAGCCTAGGGTAATGCACATATGTGATGTCCTTGCTATTAGGTGTCGAGCTAGCAGCTCTGGATAGTGTCAGACTCAGGGGCGGAGGAAGGGGGTGCGGAGGGGGTGGCCCGCCCCGAGTGTCACCACTGAGGAGGGATGACAAAATGGCAGGTGGCACTCACCATGGGGCCTGCAGCATGCCCGAGCCACACATCTCTCCTGGGAGTGATGCGGTGGTTTGGACACCTGCAGGCTCTGCGCTGCCCCAAACGGCCCACCCACCGCCTCTCCCTCAGCTGAAGGGCAGCTGAGTGGGAGGAGGCAGGCAGACTCCTCGGAGGCCCCACATAGCGTCCTGCCCCGGCTTGCCCCACCCCACAGGCAGCTGGCGCCGCCCCTGGGTGTAGGGCACACGCACCGCCCCAGGTGCCCGATCAGCTTGCTCCACCGCTGGTCAGACTGTCCTCTTGCTTCTATACTAATCTGTATACATGGGAACACAAAGTTGTAATGGAAGAAATGAAAAAGCTCCCAATTGCTGCTGTTCCTGTTGCAGGTTGTCCTACTCTTAGTTTTCTTTGTCCCCCCCCCCCTTATTTGAAAGTAAGGTTAGGGCTGCTTCTTGTGATCTCTATCTGTTATGTGGAGACCTTTTGGCACATTCTCTATTCAGGGAATCATTCCTGAAGCAGTCTTGCCAGCATATTGTTGTGAAATGGAGACAAACCACTTGTTAGAGATAGAACTGTTTGGTGAACTAGCACGTGTGAATAGCTCACCTTATGATTTCAAGTAGTCTTCACATTATAGCTATTTCTGAGTAGCTGCTGTTATACAACCTAAGAATTAAGTTCAGGCATGCATATTCATTGCTTGATCTGCAACATGAAGTGGTAGCTTCTATGGGAAACGTCAACCACAGGCTCACAACCAAAGCCATCACTTCAAACACAGTACATTTCAGTGGTAACACTTTCATGCCTTCTAGTCCAAACCAGTTGTAAGTCACTGATGATTCATTTATCTTTAGTTTCATATTATTGAAGTCCAGCTTTAAACTAGACCAGTTCTAGAACAGAACAAGAAATTGAATGTAGGTTGTTGGAACAATATATCTCTTTTGAGCGCAGGGGATCAGAAAATACCCTTAGGGGTGAAAAACCATTAAAATAAAGTCTGTTTCTAATACTTGTAACACCAAAAATGAATTAGTGTAACCTCTGTAGCCTCAATCCTGAGCTTGAATTTCAAATGGCAGTTCAACAGTCCTTACCAGCACTTGAAATTTGAACGTAATTAACTGTTGTTTCAGCATGGCTACATAAATGCCTCCGGATGTTCTATCAAAGTTCCATTTCATGTTTTGGTTGAAGAAACAGACTAATGATTTAAAATGAAGTTAAATCATTTTTAGTTAAGCCACAGCTTTCTAAATTGCACAGATTCTGCATAAAGATGTAGCTTATGAACAATGGTGTAACTATGTCTTTGCAGTTATGTGAATTGTCAAGTTTTGGAATGGTTGAGCTACTTATAGCGGCATTTATTGTCACTGGTAGTATAATAAAACATTATTTAGTGATTCAAAGATGTTTTCTTAATGCAGCAATCTATATTGAGCAAGAATAATTAATAAGAACTTTTGTAGGCATTTTGAATTGCTGCCAGACTTGTCATTTTTATCTCATCGGAGTCAGTGACAATAGCTCATTAATGCAGGGATATGTAATGTCTCTTCTTGTAGCTGTACATTTTCTGTGTCATTTTCACCATGACATTTAATGTCTAAGTGCCATCATTTAACAATATTTCTAGGCTTAGGCACGTATGGGAAATAGTACTGGTTATAGCTTCTGACTAGTCGACTAGGGCCTCTGTTTTCAAATATTTTTAGGGTATAACACATCTGACCAAGCCAACTTAACAGGATATCATGTAATATCTCCTATTGTTTAAAATTTTTATACTAATAATTTGGCCAATATATTGAGCTATTAGCACATGAGTATCTAGAGATACTGGCCAAATTCACTGGGCTCCAGGTCAAGAAATGACTAGAGATTCAGGAGACCACTCCCCTAGATTATTACACTCCAAACAAAAGGGGAAATGATGATGAGAAACAGCCTCTCACTCCCAAATCACATTAAAACAAATAGGATTGCATAAAGTCAAAGCCCAGTGAAGTAACTTTCAGGAAAATGTCATGCATCTGCTTGTATAGTCAATGTGGTGTAGTAGTCAGCGTGTTTGACCGGGACCTAGGAGACTAGGGTTCGTATTCCACCCTGGGCTCCACTTGATGCCAGACTAATCTACCTCCTGGAGAGGAAGAGGTGGTGTTTGCTACCTTGAGCTCCTTAGAGAAAATGTCGGATAGAAATGTAGTAATAAACACCTCTAGATACAGTATGGAGCCAACTGCAGTTGTTTCCTGAGTAAAACCTTATCATGCATCCTGAAAATTAAATAAATATGGATATTTGTTTTTAGAGGGAAGTTTTGTTGTTTAGTCGTTTAGTCGTGTCCGACTCTTCGTGACCCCATGGACTAGAGCACGCCAGGCACTCCTGTCTTCCACTGCCTCCCGCAGTTTGGTCAAACTCACGCTGGTAGCTTCGAGAACACTGTCCAACCATCTCGTCCTCTGCTGTCCCCTTCTCCTTGTGCCCTCCATTTTCCCAACATCAGGGTCTTTTCCAGGGAGTCTTCTCTTCTCATGAGGTGGCCAAAGTATTGGAGCCTCAGCTTCAGGATCTGTCCTTCCAGTGAGCACTCAGGGCTGATTTCCTTAAGAATGGATAGGTTTGATCTTCTTGCAGTCCATCGGACTCTCAAGAGTCTCCTCCAGCACTATAATTCAAAAGCTATAACTATATAAAAGTTTGCCATCCTGGGCTAATTTGTGGGGAAGGATAGGATATAAACTGAATCAATAAATAATGGCAATGAGAACATTTATATGTGTTGTTAATTTTATTTACTTGATGAGGGGTTGTTGTTTTTTAATACACAGTTGTGATTTATGTTATTTCAGAGCCACCTGTTCCCATTGCACCACCTCAACTGTCATCAGTTGGAGCGACATATTTATGGATACAGTTGAATGCTAATTCTATCAATGGAGATGGACCTATTATTGTGAGAGAAGTAGAATATCGCACTTCAAGTGGAAGCTGGTATGATATACAACCAGTGGATTCCACAAGCTATAAAATTGGACACCTGGATCCTGACACAGAATATGAAATTAGTGTGTTACTCACTAGACCAGGTGAAGGAGGGACTGGATCTCCTGGACCAGCTCTTAAAACAAGAACAAAATGTGCTGGTGAGTAAACCTTTACATAGCTGCAATTCTAGTTCCCAGTGCATTTCTATCATGTTTTTTAAAATCCTGGATGACTTTTGCTTTGAAGCCAAATTAGTACTAGCAGTTAGTAATCCTGAAAGTTACCTATGGCAAGCATGATCACGCTAAAGATAAGCACTTGTAATTCCCATTGATTTCAGTTAGAGTTAAGTATGTGTTTAATACTTAAATCAATTACAAGTTAAAGAGCTAAACTGCTAGGTTGTGTTTTATTTTCTATTTGTTCATTCCTTACAACTTTGGGCCTCAATATTGTGCAGATGGATTTGTTAAGTGTCTCTCCATGGAATGAAATAACAGCAAATAATAGGCATTAATTGTTTTTTGTAAAGCTGTGAAAGGGCTCTCTCCTTGTACATAATCATAATTCCAACATCTACTAACCGGAGGAGCATGAGGGTACACAAGGGGTGTGACTACAGCCATGGAAGTTTTCTAAATTTAATCAGAACTCACCATTAGCATGAAGAAAGGGAAAACTACACTCACCCTCTAATTACAGTGACATGACATGTTACCAAAGGTGCAGACACTTAGGTACAAATTCACTCTTAAAAACACTAAATCAAACATCAGCTATAAGTGATAAATATGGAAAGGCCTTTGGCTGGATCCAAACTTAGTTAGATTTAGGTCACACTAAAATCATTGGGATGAATTAAGTTATGCCTAATCTGTTCCATTGATTTTAACTGAACCTATGTTCAGCTAACAGCATAGGTCTAACCCATAGACTCTTCCATTGTAAATCATTGGTGTTAGCCTTTCTACCTATAAAAAGATACAAATGAGAGCTCTAGTAAAATCATCCTGAGTGAGAGAAGTAGAATTGTTAGCATTACATAAAACTTGGTATTATAGCACACCTAGTAGATAAGCAGCACACTAAAGATTGTAAAACTTACTGTTCTTCCCTCTTAGTTTCAATTCCTTTTTGAGAATGAATGAAAGATAGTAAGTTATTATTTCCTATCCGGGGGCTCAAACCCATAACCCTGAAATTATGAGTCTCATGCTCTACCGATTGAGCTATTGTTTACTTTTTGTTAAAAAAAACTTGAGTATGCTTAGATGCATATGACCACAGAAACTATTTGTATGGTCTCGCTTAGATTCCTGCTCCAAAATTTCTTCTCTATTGTCAAAGAGCAGAGGGAGAAGTGAGCAATGCTCAGGAGATACCCTAGTCTTCGCTCTTTTGTCTCACATAACTCCACCTATGCTTAAGAGTGTTTTACAGAGTAAGCATGCTGACTCAGAAGTACAATTGAATTCAGTGGGGCTTATTCCCCATTGGTAAGTGGGTATAGGAGTGTAGCCTTAGGGTGCAGCCCTATGTGTTGAATGGGTTTAAACCTCATTCAACACAATAGGACTTGTTCCTGCGTAAACATGTATAAGAATATACTTTTCAAATGGTTAAAAAGTTGCATAGGCTGCTAATAATAAATCAGTGAAACTACTTAGCGGTGAAGCTATGCTTTCTCAAATATGCACCGTAGAATTGACAGAATGGGTAGTCCTTTAAGAGATGAATCATTGTGCCTTTTAAATTGTGGTGATAATTGTATGCTACAAGCTTGTTCCCTTGGGGAAGAGCAGACCACTTTGAGACTCAAAGCACTGAAAGAAGTTGTGTTTTTTTAATTTTAATCGTTCCCTGAAATGCTTTTTTTCCCTTTCTTTTTTGGCCAGGCACAATGAGATTCAAGTAAGTTAGAACATTCTAGCACTGATAAATAAATGTACCTATAATTACAATGCAAAGAAAATAAAGAGAATGTTCTCCAAAAGTAGCTGTAAAATTCTCAGAGAGCTGTTTACATATTGTTCATGAAAATGCTTTATGCTGTGGTATGAAAAAGTAGAGCCCTGTGTATTGGGAAGGGAAGCATGTTGCAGGCTAAATGAATAAGTTTCCATTTCAAATTATACTTCCATAACTTGCATGTTCTTGCTGAAATATTCAAATTCAGATATATACAGCTATGAACGTTTTCAGATCTATGCTAATGCGTATTTGCTCAAAAGTAAGTCCCGCTGTGTTCAGTGGGACTTATTCCCACAAAAGTAGCCAAGGACTTCCATCTCTGATTGTGAAATATGCTGAGTTTCTAGAAGACGTGTATAGGTCTTGTTGTAGCAACTGCAGGTCCTAGGCAATCTCCCTTGCCCATGCAAATCTATTGTCAGCCAAGCTTTATTTGCATTCTCCCTGATCCCTGCCTGTCACAGACTTTGTGTGGATGTGGGTCCAAACACAGATTGGCTTAGAAAGGAGCTGAGGCTGTCTAGAAAAGTTCACTGACGAGTAGGTGCATATGGCCAAACCTTTTCCTCTTTTATCTGAGTAGCAGGCAAGCACTGCTGCACCGGACGTTGCTTTATAAACTCATCCAGGTATTCAGAATTATACTTCAGAAATTGTAGAAGCTTTACTGTATGCACATACCTACATAGCAGGTATGCTGGATCACAGCTACAGTTTTACCTTTGAGGAAGA